ATTACTAGAAAAGTCAGGAGGCAGTGGGGTCGGGTACACGTAGAGGGGTTGGGACTTGGTAAAGATGGGGACCACCCCTTCATCTGAGACCAAAGTGAAGAAGGGGGTTATGGGGGAAGATGTAAATGATATGACCTTTGTGCCTTCATCTGGTTGCCGTGGGAGGAAAGGACTGCCGACAATTATATGCCTGGGAAATCTAAGTCCATCGTTCCGCTTGAGATGGAACCGGTGCTCATTTGGGTGCGCGAGTTAGCTGGGCAGTCTCCGGAGACGTGTCGTTGAGGCGTTAAGGTCCCAGGATCACACAGATTTAGAGCTGAAAAGTCAGCTAGTCTGACCTTCTCGGGAAACTGAGGCCCCAAGAAGTGAATGACTCATTTGTGGTCGCAGTGCAAGGGAGTGACAGAGGCGGAATTCTGGCACCAGCGCTCTTCCCGTAATGCTACGCTGCTGCTTCTGGGAATGATCAGGATGGCTACAGAAGGAGCCCTCCTCTCTTTTGCTCCTGAGATGTGTACTGGGGGTTTATAGCCCTTCAGAAATCTGAAACCTGAATGTAGAATGAGAGAATCGGGGTTTAAATCTTGATTCAGCTGCTTACTATGTTGGGCAAGTCATTCATCTCTCTGTACCTTTGTTTCCCCATTGGTAAAATGAGAGGGTTGGGCTAGATAACTTCTAAGATTCCTTCTACCTCTTAACTATGATCCTGTAACATCATCATCATCATCATAACATCTAGCACTTATATAGTGCTTTAGGGTTTGTGAAAAACCAAAACCTCATTTCATCCTCACGACAACTTCGGGAAGTAGGTGTTATTATCTCCGTTTTAGAAATGAGGAAACTTAGGCAAACCAGCTAAATGACTTGTCCACGGTCACTCAGCTAATAAGGATCTGAGGCAGGATTTGAACTCATGTCTTCCTGACTCTATGTCCAGTACTCTATTCACCTCACCATCTAGCTGCTTATAGGTCAGAGATACATTCTATATTTTTGAGAGCATCAGTACTCAATAATGGGTATAAAGCAGTGGTCCCCAGTCCAGAGCCCTCACAGGGGAGACAGATGAATGAAACCTCATTTTGAGTCTTTTGCATGAATTCTTGAGCCCCTCTTGGATGTCGACCCGCTGGGCCCAGCAGCAGCCTGGGGTTGTATGTGCTGTTGTCTGGTCAGAATAGCAGCTTGGTATCTGTTCATCTGCAGTGAATTGCAAGTGCTGACATTTCCCTGGTAGGAGCATGAGCTGCGCTATACTGAAGGGGACAGCCAGGGCTAGGTGAACATGACAGTCTCTGTCAGATCTGGTGTTACGAGCCCAGGAATGAGTACGCAGTCTCAGGTGAGAATGGCCACCCGGGTGTTAGCAGGACCATGGCCAAGTGAGCTGTGGCGTGAGTCAGTGCCCAAGCTCCTGAGATCGGCTCTTGCCAGAACGACATGGCCCTGGCCTCCCTTCATCGAGCCTCCTCCTTCTTTAATACATCCTCCACACAGCTGCCATATTAATATTCCTAAAGCTCAAGTCTGACCATGTCACTTCTTGTTCAGGAAGTTCTCTTCATTACAGCTAGGACACTTTTCTCTGGCATTCAAAGCCCTTCACAGGCTAGGTTCAGCCCCTCTCCTCAGACTGATGATACATACTTCTTCCTCAGAGTTTGGCTCATGCCGGACAGGCCTACTTGATGTTCTGCATACAGAAGATCCCATCTCTCCTCTCCACACTTTTGCATAGGTTGTTCCCCATATTTAGGACATCCATCTCTCCTTTATTTCTTGGAACCTCTAGTCTCAAACTTTATGTCTTCTGTGGCTCCATTTGTATTCTCCCTCCTCTCCCTTCCCAAGAAAGGGAAAGAATTTAAATTTAAAAAATGAGGGGCAGCTAGGTGGTACAGTGGATAGAGCACCAGTCAGGAGGACCCGAGTTCAAATCTGACCTTAGCTGTGTGAACCTGGGCAAGTCACTTAACCCCAGTTGTCTCCAAAAAAAGGAAAAAAATCTAGTCAAACCAATCAGAACATCAAAAAAAAAATATGTAACACAATATTCCACACCTCTCCAAAGAAGCCTGGGAATGGGCAGGCATCTTTCAGGAGACTTTTCCTGATTCCCTCAGTGTGTAGTGCTCCCCTGCCATATGAGTATTTTGTAACTATCCTGTTGTTTTCTCATCTGTACATATAATGGTAAGCTCCTTGAGGGCAAGAGGAAGGTCTTACTTTTGTCTCTGTCTCCCCAGAACCTAGTGCAGTGCCTAGCACAGAGTAGATGATGAATAAATGCTTGTTGATTGAAAGGACCCTTTGAGGTCATCCCTGAGCCTTCAGGACCAGCCTCTTCGGTAGGGAGCTGTAACTGTATCGGAGTTTCTGAAGGAGAAGGGGTCAGCAGTTTCAGAGAGGTGTCCACTTAGGCACAAGGAGGCCCCAGCCTCTCCAGACACTTCAGGGACGCTGTTAGGCAAGAGTGGTGGAGGTGGCCAGGGTGGCCGGGCCTAGAGAGATGAGCCCTAACCCCCTGCCACCTCTGCCCCGGGGAGTTCCTTCTGTGCTGAAGCTTCTTGGTAGTTGTGAGTCTGGCACGACTCACGTTCCCTGCGACCCCCCCCACCCCCGCCATGCTTGTGCTTGTGTCCAGGACAAGGATTTTGGTAAACACGCCCTGAGAAAGGAGCACATGAACCCCCCTGCCGAGGTCAGCACGAGCCTCAAGACGTACCAGCATTTCACCCTGGAGAAGGCCTATCTGCGAGAAGACTTCTTCTGGGCCTTCACGCCCATAGCTGGAGACTTCATCCGCTTCAGATTCTTCCAGCCCCTGCGCCTCGAGCGGTCAGTGCCCCCCACCCCACCCCCAACCTAGGGAAGGGATTCATCACCATCATCTCCAGGCACGTTTACTGAGCCTCTGTCCCCACCGGGAACCGAACCCTGGACTCTGTCGTAATGAGACTGGCCTGGGAGCTAGGAGAGAGAGGCTTTCCCCTGTCTCTGCCTCTCTCTGTGTCTCTTTGTGCCTCTCTCTGTCTTTTTGTGTACCTCTGTCTCTCTGTCTGTCTCCCTTTCTCTGTCTGTCTGTCTGTCTCTGTGTCTGTCTCTCTGTACCTCCATCTCTGTGTGTGTGCCTTTGGCTTTACAAACAACGTGAGTCTCTTTCAAACAGGTTTTTCTTCCGAAGTGGAAACATTGAGCACCCACAGGACAAGCTGTTCAACACCACGGTGGAGGTGCTGCCCTTTGACGTGAGTAACTTGGCCCCAAAGGCATGTAGGAGGGGTCACTTGATAATGGACCCAAAGCAGACTCACTTTCTTTTGCACCTGCCTGTCTCCCGACCCATCCATGATGACCAGCTGCTCTTGCCCTTTGCCCCCTAGAACCTACAGTCGGACAAGGAGGCCCTGCAGGAGGGCCGAGGGGCCGCACTCAGGTATCCCAGGACCCCGGATGGCTACCTCCAGATTGGTGAGTAGGTCCAAGCCAGGAAGATGGGTATAGGAGCAAAAACTCAAGGATAGTGAGTACCCCATCTGTTTCACTTAGACAGCAGTGTATGGAGCACTGGACCTGGAATAAGAAGGACCTGAATTCAAATCCAGCCTCAGATATTTACTCAGATATTTAGCTGTGTGACCCTGGGCAAGTCACTTTACTGCTATCTGCCTCAGTTTCCTCATCTGTAAAATGGGAATAATGAAAGCACACCCTACCCCCCCACCAGGGTTGTGAGGATCAAATGAGATATTTGTAAAGTGCTTTACAGACCTTACATTACTATATACATGCTCACTATTATTATCCATTTTATTGTGGGGAAGGGCTAGATATCTGCGTTTTAGGGCCAGGTTCTCTCTGCTCACTGCCCTTAGCTGGGCCCCTTTTGAGGGGGCTGGGTAGGGTTGGGGGCGGGTCTTAGGATATTTATGAGGTGCCTCTCCATCCCTCCAGGTTCCTTCTCCAAGGGTGTGGCTGAGGGTGAGGTAGACCCAGCCTTCGGGCCCCTGGAAGCTGTCCGGTTGTCAATCCAGACCGACTCCCCAGTGTGGGTCATCCTGAGTGAGGTAAGAGGGCCTTGAAAGCTGTCCCTCTCATTCTGCTCTACAAGTTGTGGGCTTTGGGAGGTGAGGGTCCCACCTGATATCACCAAGACTGAAGAGCCTGTTGGCCTGTGTCCTTCTGAGGTAGCACACCTGACCCTTACCTGCTCTGTTCTTTCAGATTTTCCTGAAAAAGGCTGACTAAGCATTGAAAGGTGAAGGGAGCGGAGTTTTCAGGCTGCAAAGCCCCATCCCGCCCCAGTGTCTCCCCCATCATCCTGTGGGGAGCCTGTGCCCTTGCTCCAGAGCCCAGCAGGGTGCCAGATCTGGAGGTGACAGGACCAAAGACAGACCTGGGGGCAAAGGGGAGGACTAGGGTGATCTCTAGGGGGCCGCCCTTCCTCCAAGGCCTACGGTAAAGTGGAACTGAGGGCCCCAAGGCACACATGGGGCTGGTGGGAGTGAGGGGTCCTGGAGGAGAGGACAAGCCCCATGGCCCTGAGGCCATCTTTGGCCTTCACTCCACATTCCCCACTCTGCCCACCAGCCTGATGTGGGCAGGCCCCACAGGGGTCTCCAGTCCTAGGGAGCTGGTGCTATCTCCTTGGGCTGGGCTGGGCCTGGCTGGGCCAAAAACATGGGGCCCTGGGACAGCTGAGGACAGCCCTTCATCCCTTCCTCACAATGGGGCCAAGGAGTTGGGGGTCAGGGTGCCTGGACCCCCCTGGCTGGGCATGATGAGGGGCAGGGATCCCAGGGGACAGGCCTTTCCTGAGGTGCTGCCCGGCCCTGGCCCCTGGCTGTGCGCTGGCGGAATCGGGGGGCCTCTCCGGGCTCAGGCGGCCGTACACTGGAATGCATCATACTACTCTAATGTGCTGTGTTTTTTATTATTGGATACATTTGATTTTTTCACGTATGTCGATATATAATTATATAAAACGTGAATTGTAATAAAAGTTTAATTCCGTTTCAAACCTTGGGGGGAGTCTGCATCACACCCCCCCTCTCTAGGGACCCCAGGTCTTTGTATTTCTCCACAGTGCCACTGTCACCAGAACCCCCTGAGCCCTGGTGGGGTTGGCACCTCCCAAGCCATCTTGGTACATACCCTTGGAGGCATACCCCTCATGGGGTCCCACCCCACTTTCTACCCCATCACAACCAGCCAGTGCAGCTTCCTCAGGAGGGGCGTCTTCAGGGAGGCTGGAAGAAAGTGGGAGGCCAGGCCCAGTGCAGACAGAGCTACCAGCAGCCAGAGGACCCGGGCACCGAAGTACAGGGGGCCCAGTCTGTGGGGGTTGAGGGGGTGAAGATCAACAAGAGAATGTCCCCTCCAGCCTTGCCCCTTCCCCCCCCCCCCGCACTGCCCCGAGTCCCTGCTCACCTCCCCTGGGCCGACACAGCGTAGCCATGGAAGTATCTGTACCGGGCACCCAGGTAGAGGAGGCCGCAGGCAGCTGCTACACCTTTTCCAGAGAAAGAGTAACAGCTTTTGAGGCCCCTGGAAGAGAGTGGGGGGCGGGGCGCGCAGCAGCATGCCCCGGGCATGAGCCCTCATGCATAAAGCGATGGGGTGGCCGGCAGCATCCTGCGGGCTCTGCGGCACACACCCTGGAGCGCCTGGTGACCAGGAAGGCCTTCTGTGGCGGGAGCGCCGGCATGGGGGGAGGGCCGGCATGGGGGGAGGGCTTGGCTCCCAGTCTACACCCGGTGCCCCAGGCCCTGATACCTTGGTGGAAGAAGATGCCAGCGACCCAGAGGACGGCCAGAAACAGCGGGAAGTACTCTGTGCAGTTTGCCCTGGAGTGGGAGGTTGGGGGAAGGGGGAAAGAAGGAAGGCGCAGAGAGGCAGAGCTGAGCGCTCCTTTCACCTCCCACCCAAGACCCCCTCTCCCCACCCTAGGTCTCTACTGGGGAAGTGAAGGGGACTCAGGAAGGCGCTGTCACGCCTTGCAAAGGGGAAGCTGGGATGATGGAAGCACAGGCTTTTAGGGCATAGAAGGACAAGTTCTGGGCCCAGAGTCTTGGGGGCATTGTTTTACCCCTGTTTTGCCAATTTTTACCCTTGGTGGTCTTTCTCTTGGGGCTGAGAAGTAACGGTGGGGGAAGGGTCAACGATAAGGCTTCTTTCTACACCTGAGCAGGGTGTGTCAGGGCAGGGTGTCTAGACGTCAGGGGGTGGGGCTGGGGACAGTGGCATAGATAGCTCTACGATGCATCTTCCTTCGGACCCTGAAGGCCAGGCACACAGAGATCCCGGGACAGGATGAGCCAGCTCTGCCAGGCCTAAGGCTCAACACCTCTGAGCCCAGCTAAGGAGCCAGAAGAGCAGGGACGCAGAACGATTCTTGGACATCTTCCCTGATCCTGTCCAAGGCCCTGGGCACACATCGCAGGTCCTTACTGAGCTCGGAAGACTCTCTCAAACTCTGGGGGGCCAGTGGTGGCTGGGGGTGCCACCTTGAATCTCCTCCTTGCTGTGATCACTTGCCAGGAGAAGTAGGCTGAGGAGGGGAAGAAGGGAATTGATCAGTTTTCCACTGCCTGGCTGCACCTGACAGACCTCTTGGCCTTATCACCAATACTGAGTGCAGTGGAGAGGGGAGCTATTGCTGTGGTTCTTTTTCTACTAGAGATGTCATTTAACTTCTCCTTGTAAAATGGGTTATATAGGACTTGTGCTTTCTCAAGAAAAGCTTACACAGTGATACAGAAATGTGAGCTGTTCTTAATGAATTTAATCAGATGCTCCCTTGGAGTAAGGTCACCTCTCCTATCCCCCTGCCTGCAGGCTGTGTCATGGAGGACTTCCTAAAATGAAAGTGAACCTCCCTGAGGATCTCTAAGCACTCACTGGGACACACACACACACACACACACACACACACACGCGCACACACACACACA